AAGGTCACCCAACAAACTAGTGCTAAGCCAAACATTTCACCCAGGTTATCAACGCTCAGGTTATCAACACTCAGTTTCCAAGGCTCTGCTGGCATTGATAGGAGGCTTATCTCTACTTAATTTCAAATGTATTTCAATGAGTATTTTGTTATTCTTGTTCCCTTTTGTTACCTTGATCAGGTAAAAGTGCTTGTGAAGTGAAATGGAAAGCATTTACTTTCACTATAGAAAATGCAACAACGTTACCACTCAGCTAAAATAAATCAAAGTGATGAGTAACTCAGCTGAAGGTACGTGCAAAATGGTAGCTGTGTGTGAGGAATTAGGTATGTGAGGGAATGAGAAGCCTTAGCTGGAAGATGATTCACCCAAATTAGAAGTGCTAGAGAATAGTTTTGTCACTTGTTAATGCCCTGGTTCTTGACCATCACAGTCTTGCTTGTAAGTCCATAATACAAGTCCAGCTGTAGAGGAGTGGTGCCGTTTTGCTTGTGCTGAAGGCTGCTTAGCAAGCCTCCCCAGGCTTTGTAGTATCCTAGAGCAGGACAGGCTCTGAATGGGAGGAGAAGGATCTAGAGACAAGTGAAAGAGGTTATTTCACCATACTAATTTTTTCTTATCACTTCTTTGTATAGATCTCTGAAAAAGCCTGCTTTCCATTCATCCAGAAAACCTTTAAGCATTTAGTAAAATGTTGTAGGGGAGTGATGGTGGTGATGTGGGGTTGTTTGTTTTGGTTTGTTTTTTCTTGTATTCTACAACAGAAATACATCTTTTTGCTGTGGTTTTGAACTCTTGCCTGGGATGTGTTTTTTGCTTAGTAGGTGTACTCAAACTGTCCTTAATGAAAATCTTTTAATTAGTCAGTACGCTTATCTTCATAGCATATGCAAATTAACTTGCTGTCTGCTTTCAATCCATTCTTCCTTTGAAAAGTCAGTCATACTTTGATTTGAATGTCAGACTGTATAATTGGAACGTTGCGTAGTTTTGGCACTGAACTATGAAAGAGTGGGAATTCTTAATTACTCAGTTGTTTATATAAACTGTTTCTCTGGGGGAAAAATTGAGATCACCTCAAACTTTAATTCTCATGTTTGATAGTTGACCAAGTTTTTCTGAAGGTACTAGATTTTTTAAAAAAATTAGGTTTTGTCTTTTAATGTTGTGCTCTGAACAGTACAGTAACTACAGGAGTGGGTTTTTTGTGTGAGTTTTGGCTTTCTTGAACCCTAGGGCATGTAGGCTTCTGAGGAAGATTTCATGTGATATGACTGCCAGCGGTCCCCAAAAAAACACTTCACAAATCACTGTTACCAGCTCCCAAGCAAGGCTGTGCAGCTAAATGAAAATACACATTGTAGCTCATTGTATAACCTGTAGTACATGTATTGTTCCTGTCTTGAACAGTTGGTACTCAGGGGTTTTTAGGGCTGTTACCTCATAGGAATGTGATGTCCTCAGTGTCAGCCAGGTGCTATGAAAACACTGCTAGCATAAGGCAGGTGACATTAAAAGAAGTGGAGTGGAGGGTTTGGTGTGAAATGCCAAAGCAGACAATGTAATTGCAAAGGTTGTAGGAACCGATGAACCAAAAAGCATTGAGGGAGGAGAAACCATGTGTTTCCCTCTCCATCTTGCTAATTATACTTTCATAGGTTTGTGCAACTGGAATTAATTCAACTCTTGAATGGAGATACGGAGGTAACAAGTCAAATGGAGGTGAAAATGAAGTTAAGGAGTTTCATAAACTGCAGCTCTGGTTGTGGTATAAAAAGGTGATGTTGGGGATGCTTCATTTGGCTTCAGCGGCCCCCAGCAGTCTGATGTGGTTCTCTGAGCTATGCCAGCATAGGTTTGTGCGAAGAACTGGAACTTGTCCTGATCTAGCTGGTGAAAACACTTCTTGCAGGCCTTTTTCCCCTGGGATTTTTAATGCATTGGATTTCCAGCTCATCTTTTGCTACACAGTTGCCTGAACTGTCATAGAGGAAGGGTGATGCAAAGGTGAGAATAAGCTGAAAACCAGAAAGCATTTAAACTGGAATGGCTGCTGAACAAATTAGTATGAAATTTTATCCTCTGTCTGTCAGTGCACACCACAGAGTGCACCATCTGTGCTTTCTTTACAAAAAGAAAGATGTTAAGCTTTCCTTAAAACTCAGACTGAATAGACCATTCAGCCTTGTCTCTTACTTGGCTTGTGCTGGTCTCTAAAGATAAAGTGATCCTGTGGAAGGATGAGACTTTTTTTCTAGGCAGTATCTGTGTATATTTCTCCTGGGGCTTGATGTTTCTGAAGTATCTTGAAGTGTTCAAAAGCCTCTGAGAGAGCTTTTTATTGGCTAACTACTCCTTATTTATGTATTATACCATCTGTCCCACTATCCAGACAGTTGTATTTTAGCAATGAAGTGGTGGTTTTAGCTTGCTTTATTAACTTAATTTTACAGGATAAAACAGACTTTTCCACTTGTTATGTACCTTTAACTTGCCGATGTCTGTTCGCATGCTGGTTGTTTCAGAGAGGAATTTGTCAGAGAATAGGCCAAATGACTTGGTAGCTGAACTTTCCTTTCTTGAAAGTTTTTGTATTACTTAGGTTGCATTTCCTTGTGGCAAAAATGTATAAGAAATACTAAAACAACCGTGTTAAATGGTAGCAGGGGATTGTTTTCAGCTCTTGCGTGTGTAGCTATGAAAGAAGCATGTAATCTAGTGGAGTCGGTTGGTCAGGTTACACTAGCTTGGCTTGCTGATGGTTGCATTCTACAGAATTTACAGGGAACATGATTTTCTGACAGAGTGCACTAGAATGAAGTTTGAGACTATGGGAACAGGTTTTCTGATAGCTAGGCTGGTTTGAAGAGCCAGTGCAAGTGAAGCTGGATGGCTGGTTTCTGGTGGTGCTAACAAAAGCAAGAGTTGGGGCAACACCGGCAGAAGGGTTGTAGAGTGATGATCCACACTCAGCTGGCACAATATGATAATACTTTGTTCAAAGACACTGTTAAATATTCTTAAACACTAAATGGGTGGAAGTTTGAGGTTTTAATTTCTGCTGTATTTTCAGTACAAAATAGTCCCAGTCGGTAAATGGACATAGTAGGACCATTTCTTTTTATTTTCGTTCTTTGTTATTAGTTTTTTGGTCAATGTGTTTCATACTGAGAAATGGCAGCTCTGTGGGAAGGGAGTGTATTAGACATGACAAGCAGTAGGGGTAGATGGCACCTTTAAGCAGCAACACAGCTGCTGTCGGATTGTGTCTACTTCTGAAAGTCCATGAAAGGCTGCAGCACGGTGCAGCCCGCAAACAGCCTGGCTGCTTGGGAGCTGTGGTCATGGCTTAATGGATGTGAAAGCCTACCTACCACCTGTCACGCAGGGGAAATGACAGAGGGGGATGTGTGACTCTGAAAGTTTTAAAGCAGAGAAGTTTTCCAGTTGAACAATATGACAGATGTTTCTGCTTACTGATAACTAAATAATTAATTATCATTGCAGTTAAATCTTTTGCATTAAAAATATTACAGATTTATATCTGTGGGTATCTCCTGGAGATACTCCAAGCAAAAATAGTACATCCAGGGTAATATCATGTACTTAAGTATGAGGACCTAATACTTGCTGAAAAAGAGTAAGATGCACACAACCTCTGTAGTACACTTCATGCTTTTATCTTCTAGAAGTAAGTTTTTACATTTCTTTTTTCCACTGTAGGGTACTGTAGCTAGTATACACTTTCATAATTCTCAGGATTCGTTGTCTTTATGACCACAGTGAAAACAATACTATGCTGTTTTGAGTAAATGAACCTTTTTGTGTAGCTTTTAAGCAGGGCACTCATTTGCTGAGTCTGAGGCAGATTGCCTGTCCTTGATGTCTCAATATATCACACATGGTCTCTTCATGCTTTTGGATGACTTTCACAAGTTCAAACAGCAAACAACTTTTACATTTTGATATTTGAGATGGGGGAGATCTCATTACAACTCCATCACTCTAACTAGTTTGGTAGAATATCAACAAGAAATTACTGTTTTTCTTTGGGACCTTTTAAGAACTGGATACATTTTTATTTGGTTTAATTCTACTTACTTATAAATTTCATAATCTTAAGTGTGTAACTGTGGTCTAAATAATTTCCTAGTTCACTGCCCATTTTTACAGAAACAATGCATTTGTGATCTCCTTTATTCCATTCCACACTTCTTTATTCTTCACTTCTGTTAATTCTTTTTAAATAATTTTGTACCGCAGATATGTTTGTGAGGAAAGTAGAAAAGCAACTTTGATTTTAGAAGACAGATCTAGCATATGCATTTATTTGAAAGATGTATGATTCAGAATTGCCCAGTAAAAGTCAAAGATGAATTTGCATGTCCATCTCATTTCTTGTGCTCTGTAGAATGCACAGTTTGTACGTTCACTATATGCCTCTGTTCCTTTGGACACAACAGTTACCTATACACAAAAGAAGGTCTTTGATACAAGTTGATGAGCTAAAATCTGAGTAAATTTTGGTGTGACCTGTAGAAACATACTTTATCTTCCTTTTCTTGATACGGTGATAAGCTTCTGATGTTTTTTTCTCCTGTTCTTTTTTTTTTTTTTTTCCCCCAGTGTTCTATTTAGGTGAGTGTTTTCATTTTTTGAGCCTTTTCTGTTTCTCCAAGAGTACTTGTTAATTTTTTTTAAGAAAATCTCAGACTTGGAGTGCTTTTCAAAGCTTTTAAGTCCCATCATATATAAAATTTATTTTGCATTTCTATGAAGCCTTTTCATCCATTTGAAACAAATCCATTCTGCAAATATGTGAGGTAGCATTTGTTGCATTTTTATTTGCTGTATTATGTTGTTGAGCTTGTTTGGCTTAAAAAGCAGAAGTAAACAGTTCTTATAGTGTCATGTGATGGCTGGCCTTTTTCCTTGTTTTTGTGCTTTTTTTTCAAAGTAGAAGTTGGAATCATTAATTTATGATCTGTACTCGCTTCCAGGTCCTACATTGCCTCGACAGAATTCACAGCTTCCCTCTCAAGTACAAAATGGTCCATCACAAGAAGAATTGGAAATCCAGAGAAGGTACAGTATTATAAGTGAACAGCTGTTCAAAGAATGTAGTAACTCCTCACTAATGCTAAGAAATTAAATGGTAAGACACTCTCTTGCATTAGGGCAGTTTTTGTATGCTTGCAGTTTTCAGTAGTGCAGCTTTCCTACATAGAAACTCTGATTGCAGCTAGACCTCCTGTTCACAATCTCCACCCATTCAAACAATGCAATTGCTATTGGCCTGTCATAAGTGTTGACTATCAGATAGGGAGCTTTGGAAGATTTCACTGCTGTCGTTTTCAACCAGACTAATTAATTTTTCAGTGACTTTTATGTCTTCATTTTTTGACACACGCTTATAAAAAAGAAAGCGGCAAGGAAGGAAGTTTTTAACCTTTAGAAGTAGAGAATTAAGTCATCATGGGGAATGACAGTTTTTCTTCCTGAATGTGGATGCATTAGATCATAATATTGTATTGGAAAGCTTGTTCTCCTTAATACTGTGGTAGTTCTTTAGCAAAAAACCTTTTGCTTTTCTGCTTTCACTGTGTAAATTTATGGGGCCTTCAGTAGTTTAACTTTCAGCTGTAGCAATACTGGTTATATCTGTGCTGCCCTCAAGGAGTAGTCCCTGTTCCCCTGACCACTTGGCAGCCCTCTAAGATAAGCTGTTCCCTTCATTATGAAGCCGCTCTACCCTGTCCCTTGCCCTGCGGGATATTTTTCAGACCAGAAGTATTTTTAACATAGGGACTTTTTTTCAGTTCCCTCTGATAATCCCTATGTATTGATCACGTGCCCACGTTCTGGGAACAAACTTTGTCGTTGCCATATTCCCACTTTTGTTGTGTGGCAACATGGATTAGTGCTGTAGGTGCAGTGTCTGGGATATGGATGTATGAAATAGCAGTCTTCTAGGATAGTGCTGTCAGGCTGGGTTAAGTGGAAAAAGCAAGCCCTTGGGTTGTCTCAAGCATACTGCCTGTGGTGCAATCCTGGATTATTTTACCATCAGAATACTCCCAGGAGATTAGCTGTTCCCTTCCAGTAGGGATGCTGGGAGTGAGTTAGGTCACGTGCGGGGAACAGGATCCTTGAATAAATAGGAAGTGGTCCAGATTGATGGGTATAAATGCACTTAATAACTTTCAGTGTTAACTGCAAAAATATTGTAACATGCGGGGTCTAATTGGCATTAAAGTTTTTTTCTATTTTGGTATTTATTTTACATTTAGTTTGTTTATGCAGGAATGAGCAGAACCAGATTGCTAATTTGGAAATAATTCGTATTATAGATTTTATAAACGAGCTATATGTGTTGAAGAAAGTTTTTACATCAGAATTGGTCATACTTGTCTGTCTCTTCTCTACAGTATGTAAAAACCTGAGCAGGGATCACATTGCTAATTTGGAAATAATTCATATTATAGATTTTATAAACAAGCTATATGTGTTGAAGAAAATTTTTTACGTCAGAATTGGTCATACTTGTCTGTCTCTTTTCTACAGTATGTAAAAACCTGAGCAGGGATCACTTTATCTGGAAGTCTCCTTGTTTAAAGACAAATAGCACAAAGCTCATTACAAATCTGTCTGTTTGATGTGTTTACATGCAAGTCTGCTGTCATGATAAAGGTCTTTTATGTCACTTCTTCTGACAGACTTTTAAAAAGCTTTTTTCTTTTGATTTTTTTTCTGTTCTACAGTAATGGCTTTCAGTATTTTTATTTCCTGTTTGTTCCTTTAGAATGCTGTATTAATTGAAATTTATAACACTGAAATACTTTTCAGAGAAGCATTGTAGATAGATGTATATTCAGTAAAAAGCCCTGCCTGATATTAAGAGCTCTGCAAGTCTCTTGAAATTTTTCATGTGTAAAGGGCATCTTATCAGATGGAATTCTTATGGCTTCACTTTCTCATTTGATCAATGTGTTCTACTTGTTTTCATCTAATACAAGGTTCTCTTTGAGTTCCGGTCCTGGATTTGATTTTTTTCCTCTAAAAAGGATGGAGAACTGGAATGAGTGTTTACTCATGTTGCTAGCCAGATTGTCTCTGGAAAGACTTGCTGTTGTGTCATTAAGCCTAAGAAGAACATGTAATTTTGTTAAAAACTTTCACAAATGCTTTTCCAGTCTCTTTACTACTGTGACTATAAGAGTTAAGTGAACTCTATTAAAACCAAAGTTAGAATTTCTGTGGTAACTGTCTCACACCTTTCAGACTGTAACAACACCAGTCTTACTGCCATAATGTCGAGGGTGGTAAATAGTTGGGGAAAAATGGTTTAGGTATATATTACTTTTAACGTATCTGCAAGTGACATTTCCAGTCTCATTAAAGGGTGAAGGCAGTGTGGGCAGAATTGAATTCTAGGGGTAGAGTAAGACTACAGGGAGTGCAAGAAAAGGGAATGAATGTTTCTATGTAGGAGCAACATAGGGTTAGTGATGGATCGGTAGAAAGGCAAGCTTTGTTAGGTCTATTGCTTGTGAAATGTGTGTCTGTGGGGTGGTTTTTTTGTTTTGTTTTGGGTTTTTTTTCAAGATGTGGCTTGATAATAGTTGTCTTTAAGTACTGGTTTGATATCTCTCCCCTTAAGTGTACCTGGATTCAGTAGCGTTTGACAGACTCCTCTGTTGAAGAATTTCAGAAAAATATTTTTTGAAACAAATCTAACTCTGAGAAAGAAGTTTGCCTACATAAAAATTAAAGTTGAAAAACTTCATGGTGGAGGTGAAGGACCACAAGAGGACCTTGTGGAGCTCAGCTAGTCCAACCCTCTGCTCAAAGCAGGACTAATTTCAGAGTTAAATTATGTGGCTTGTACCTTCAGGGTTTTCCTAGGCACAAATAGAAACATTTCCTCAGAAATCTTTTGACAAAGGAGTGACTGGTGAAGAATGGCATATTAAAGAGAGCTCTTCAACTGATCTGATGTTTTCCTTTGCTTTTATAATCAGTGTTCAAGAATCTTGGGGAAATCGAGAACTGAAAAATTAAATTAGATCATTGTCAACAAAAGTGTATTACTTTGGTTCAAAGATTTTTCTCTATTTTGGAAAGGATTTAGATGCCTTTTTGAGTAAAGTGCTAAAGTAGTAATATTACTTTGTTTATTTTGCTGTAGAGCCTGTTATTTGAATGGTTACATTTTTTACTGTGCCGTGATGACAATCTGTAAAGCCATTATATCCAGATATGTGATCTAAAACAGTGAAGTTTTTATAAGGCCAAGATTACACATAAGGTGGTCAGTGAAATAATTTCGTCTGGTGAACTGATAAGTTTGTAACTTTCTTTTAAGAAGCCTTATTACATGATGTATGCTTTCCCTGTGAAAGTAGGGAGTACTTGAATATAACTGTAATCTTCTGTAATGTGCACACATTTAAGTAATATCAAGCTTTAAAACACTCCAGCTTCCATTTTCAATCCTCAAAGATTAAGGGTTTTTTTTTTTTTTGTTATATGGGTTATTTTTTGTTTTGTTAGAGTAGTGGTCAGGCAGTGTTTATAAATTCCACTGATTGTTTGATAATGAGCCAACTTGACATACGTATTTGTTAATAACTTGAGAGTTACTTAATGTCAAATACCATTTTAAAATATAAGATTAGTTCATGGCATACCTCTGTGTGCTACTCGTGCATGTAAATTTACCTTCTCTTCTAGCCATGATAGATATATTGTCAGAAGTATGAGTCACTGAGTTGGTATTTGACACTTAGGAATTTAATGAGTTAATGTTTATAAATAACTTCAAAATCATCACTGCTTCATAAATAAAGGGACCAAGAACACTAGAAACAGAGAAAGTGTACTGGTTGTAAGGAATAATGAGGGTATACAAGCCGCCTGTTGTCCTTCAGGGACGCAATGGACCAAAACTTGACCGACTTCTGTCGTAAGTACTCAAAAATGTTAGAAGTTTGCATAAGTGCAACAGTGGAATATTAGGAAGTTTTGTCATGGTTAAATACTTCAAGCTTGCTTATAGTTTTAGTCTATATCATGGTCTAGGATAATACTGTTAAAGAAAACTGTGTGTGACTGTGCTAGAATACGGTTTGGTTTTCATAACATCTTTTGGGAGGCTTCTTGGTTTTAAATAGCGCAAGTTCAGAGACTGACAAGGGTAGCGGTTTCTTATTTACTGATAGACTTAAAGGAATGCCTTTTATTTCACAGTTAAAAGTATTTTTTTCTGATATTTTGCTAATCTTAATTTTTAACTACAGTAAATTATTTTTTTTTACCTGTGAATTAGTAATTATTGCATGTATAATTCCTGAGCTGCTTTGAAAATGTGGAAATACTGAAAGAAAAAGCTGCATCACACAATTCAGTAGCAGTGTAGCTATTATGATTTAAAGGAAGGAAAGTTTGCCCATCACTTTGTGTCCCTGGTTAGCCAGGTTTTTTGTTAATAACTTGAGATGATTTTTCCCATAGCTTGTGACCTTTTCCTAGTTAGTAGCCAGATGTACTGTTTCCAGTTTTCCTTTGCTTTTGAAATTGTGCCATTTATTGGACAGCTTATTTTGAGGAAGTAGGGTTTATTTCAAGGCGTATGAATTGTTTAGACTATAACTAAGTAAAGAGTTTTAATCTGAAGTAGATGTATGAATATAATATAGCAGTTGGCTTTTTGGGTTAGGATATAAGGGTGTTCAGCAGAATACTGCCATATGATTATATTCTGTGCTGTGCATGTTACAAAATCTGCATGGATTTTGCATTCCAGAGACATGGTTTACATAGAAGCAAAGGGGTTTTTTTAATGCCTAAGTTAAGGGTTTCCAGGAGGTTGAAGTTATATCAGTGTGAACTCTTCAAGTTGAGCTTGCTGAGGTAGTTTCATGGGACAACCTGCAGCCATTTGGATCTTTTCAACTTATGTATTGCATAGTTGGACAGAAGACAAAAGGAGACAGAAGCAAAAAGACCCATCAGTATTATTTATCTCATCCTGAAGACTTGGAGTTTTTTTTTCTTGCCCTCAAAGTTTCTGGAAAACGGAGTTC